CTCTCCCTCCCTCTCCCTCCCTCTTCTCTCTTCCCTCTCTCTCCCTCGGCTCGCTCTCCCTCTCTTTCTCCCTCCCTCTCTACTCTCCTCCCCATTTCTCCTACCATCTCTCTTCCTCCATCTCCCTCTCTCTTCTCCCTCCCTCATCTCCCTCCATCTCTCTCGCTCTCTCTCTCTCTCGTGTCATCGTTGATGCGCAGTTTGCTGCATGATTTACGGCCGCCATGCCGACGCTTCAATATTGCTGCCGACGCAATGTAGGGCATTACGTGGCGACGCATTCGAGAGAGAAAGCTCCAGCAGCTTGACGGTCTCACCACGGATGACGGCGGTCCAGTGGCAGCAGGCAGTAGTAGCAGCCCAGTTAGCAAACATGTTAAGCTAGCAGCAGCAGCAGCAGTTAGTAGCAGCAGCCAGTAGCAACAAGCAGCAGCCAGCAACAACACAGCAATAGCAGCAGCCAGCGTATCAGCCATTGGCGCGTAGCACAACAACAGCAACAACAACAGCAGCAGCAGCAACAACGAAACGAACAACAACAACAACAGGCAGCAGCGTAGTAGTGTAGTTTAGCAGCAGCAGTAGCAGCTAGCCAGTAGCAGTAGCAGCAGGCAGCAGCAGCAGCAGCAGCCATGTAAGCAAACAGCAGCAGCAGCAACTAACAACAGCAGCAGCAGTAGCAAACCAGCAGCAGGCAGCCTGCCCAACAACAGCCAACAGCAGCAGCCAGCAGTAGCAGCAGTGGCCAGTACGCAGACAACAACAACAAACAAACAACAACAACAACAACAACGCAACCAACAACAACAACCAACAGCAACAACAACAGCAGCAACAACACAAACAACAACAACAACAACAACAAACAGCAGCAGCAGGCAGAGCAGGCCAGCAGTAGTTAGTAGTAGTAGTAGCCAGCAGCTGTAGTAGTAGCAGTAGTTAGTAACACGCCCAGCAGTAGCAGCAGCAGCAGTAGCTAACAGCAGCGGCCCAGCAAGCGCCTAGTACAGCAGCAGCAGCTTCAGCAACAGCAAGCAGGTAGTAGGCAGCAGCAGTAGTAGCAGCTTCAGCAGCCAGCACAGCTAGCAGCAGCGAGTAGCAGCCGCAGCCACTAGGCCTAGCATACAGCCAGCCAGCAGCCAGCAGCAGCCAGCAGTAATCAGTCCAGCAGCAGCAGCAGTTAGCCAGCACTAGGACCCAGCACTTAGCGAGCAGCACCCGCCGACAGCAGTAGAGTAGCCAGCAATATAGCAGCAGCAGCTAGCAGCAGATAGCCAGCACTAGCAGCACTAGCGCACTTAGCAGCCACGCAGCGAGCAGCCAGTAGCAGTTAGCCAGCAATAGTAGCCAAGTAGTAGTAGCAGCCCAGCAGCAGCAGCAGCAGCTGCACCAGCGTTAGTAGCAGCGGCAGCAGCAGCAGCAGCAGCAGCAGCCGCAGCAGCCAGTAGCAGCTAGGCAGCCAGCAGTAGCAGCAGCAGCTCAGCAGTCAGCAGCAGCAGCTGCAGTAGCCAGCAGCTAGTAAGTAAGTAAGCCTGTTATGTCTTGCGTAGCTGCGGTGGCTCACCGCGGTAATCGTATCAGTGTTTATATTAATTTATGACACGTCTCAGTTCCACCGCGCAGCCTTTCTTTTTCACGACGCTGTTTGGCATTTCTACATATACTCGCCTCTCGCCCTCTCCTCTCTCCTCTCTCTCTCTCTCTCTTGGCCTCTCTCTCTCTCTCTCTTTCTCTCTCTCTCTCTCTCTTCTCTTCTCTCTCTCTCTCTCTCTCTCTCTCTCTCTCCTCTCGCTTCTCTCTCTCTCTTTCTCTCTCTCCTCTCTTCTCTTTCTCTCTCTTTCTCTCTTTCTCTCTCTCGGCGCTCTCTATCTCTGGCCCTCCCTCCTCTCTCTCTCTTCTCTCTTGCTCTGCTCTCGTCCGGGGCTCGCCTCTAATCTCTCGTCTCGCTCTGCTCTCTCTTCTGCCGCGGCGCTCTCTCTCTCTCTCTCTCTTTCCTCGCTCGCTTCTCTCTCTTTTCTCTCTCTCTCTCCTCTCTCTCTCTCTGCTCTCTCTTCTCTCTCTCTCTTTCTCTCTCCTCTCCTCTCCGCCGCGCGCTCTCTCTCTCGCTTGCTCGCTTTCTCTCTCTCTCTCTCCTCTCTCTCTCTCGCTTCGTTCTCTCTCTTCGTTCTCTTTCTTTCTTCTTATCCTCGATTCTCTGCTCTCTTCTTCGTTCCTCTCTCTCTTGCTCTCTCACTCTCTCGCCCTCTCTCATTCCTCGTTCCTCTCTCCCCCTCTCTCTCTTTCTATATATATATATATATATATATATATATAGCGATGATGTAATCGTTGTTGGAAGCCGAGACGATCTAGAGGATAAAGTTATTTGCCGGAAACCTTTTGTGTCCGGGAGAGGGTTTTCCGTGGCTTCCTTCGTGATAGTTAAATTTAAGCTACTACTCTACTATACTACAGCTTCTCACTGCGCATGCGCGCAGCGACAGCGCCACGCAGCGGTCGACTGACGAAACAATAAGCAGGTGATGGTGGTATTACGAGAGTGGCAATTCCCGTGGAAAGATATAACCATAGAAATCATATAGATGACATCGAGATAATATCGATAATAAAGTCTATTTATATTATTTCTATGGATATAACGAACATTATTAATTACACTAGCTATTCGCATAATCGTAAGAAGAAAGTGTGAGGGGGTAACAAGTGACTATACATTGATATGCCATGTATCTATCAATGGTCTCTGTTATCTTTGATCTGTAGTCGCTAGTAGCTGTTATTTCACTCAGCAACAACAACAATAATAACAGAAACAGCAACAACAACAACAACAACAACAACAACAACAACAACATCATCATCATCATCATCATACAACACCGCCACCGCTGCGAACAACACTCGCAACGAGAGAACAAGAGCAAAGCGCCCACAGGCCTCCTCCCCCTCCCTCTCCCCCCTGAGCATAAGACACTCTACCACCCATCATACAGAGCCGTACGCGGACATCTACTGAGTTTGTCTGCTGCGGGGCCGTCACCATGACAGTCAGCTCGTTAGTGTCGGCCGCCACTTTAGCAGACGACACTATAACTAATGGATTAGCACCACCGGTGGTGGTGGTGGGGGGTGGGGGTGATGGTGGCGGTCCACACACCCACGGGTTCATAGAGTATGTATACATGCATGCATGCGCACACACACGCACATACACACGCACGCACACACACACACGCACGCATACATACATACATACATACACGCGCACACACACACACACACACACACACACACACACANGCGCGCGCAGACGACGATTGTACACGGTGACACGCGCGCGCACGGGCAGCCGATTAAATCTACATTCAATTCACCCCGAGATGTCCATTAACCCACCATAGCAGTGACGGTGGCGCGAACACAATGAAGAGAACAAGAGCGCATGTCTCGTCAGGAAACGCGCGCGCGGTTTTTTTTAGGCGGCGATCGTAATCGGTAATCGATCGATCGCTGGCGCCGATAACGGTCGGTGCTTAATCGATAATCGATACTCACGTGCCGAGGGGAATTACTGATCGCGCGCGATGACGACGAAGATGATGATGGTGATGATGATGACGACGTTGATGATGACGCTGACGATTGATAATGACGCTGGCTGCAAGGTCATACTGGCAAGAATTCGCACGGATTTTCGTACGTCAAGAATTCTGTAAAACGAATAAAAAAGCCAACGGGAGGATTACTTACGTGATTAGTGTACGAGCGCCATCTGTTGGCTAATATTCTCGCTTATTCTTTAGTTTCATCTATCTACATAAACATGGGCCGGGCCGTCTATGCCGGACTTCTGACACGGGCTATTTTTTTTATTATATCAGTGTATTTAAATTACTTACAGATGAGTTGAGATGTGGCACTCAAATAAAGGAGTAAACGCATAATAGGTCACGAGCTGGGAAAAAAATATAATTTATTTTTCGGGGGCTACTTTTCAAGCTCGCGTGCATGAAAATAGCACTCTAAAATTTGGTTTGCATTGAACTCTATACAAATTTACGGGGGCTCTTTTTGGCATTTCGGGGGCTAAATCGCCCCGAGCCCCGTGTATTTTTTTCACTGGTCACGAGTAACTAACATTATATTGCGCAGTGGTTGACTTGAAGACTGTACAGTCAACTACCCTTGCTGCATTTACTGACAATCGTTACGATGTAGGTAACCGAGTAATATTTGAAAGCGTTAATAAATTCCAAACCCAAAAATCTAATCTAGGAGACAAACGGCTGCGTTTATCCACACACACGCACGCACGCACGCACGCACGCACACACACACTCTCTTTCTCTCTCTCTCTCTCTCCCTCTCTCTCTTTCTTTCTTTCTTGTTTTCTCTCTCTCTCTGTCTCTTTCTCTTTCTCTCTCTCTCTCTTTCTTTCTTTCACTCTCTCTCTCTCTCTTTCACTCTCTCTCTCTCTCTTTCTGTCATTCACCTTCTCAACACACTTTCTTTAACCTCAAGTTATGTGTGAACCTACACTAAGCATGGTATGAATAAACTTGCAATCTAATAATCTCGTGAATAGATACTTGTATCGTTAGTTGTATGAAGACGATTTCGATCATGAGTTGAATAAAGGCGCATAGTATCAAGAGCAGATAAAGAAGGAGAGCGTACAAGGGTAAAATGCTGAAACCATGCTGCAGTATTAGTCGAATTAATAAACTTTTCCCGTTTTATTTTGACGATCCTTTGCAGTATTATTGATTAGCTGTCTTACCTTGTTCATATAAAACAAACCGCATGTCCCTACGATGCCCCTATGCATCGAGAAAAGTTTATTAATTCGACTAATACTGCAGCATGGTTTCAGCATTTTACCCTTGTACGCTCTCCTTCTTTATCTGCTCTTGATATTATCATAAAGTGTATGTTCCGGGAACCCACCCGACTTTGCGAAAACCGACGTGAGAGGAAAACGAGTGCGACACAGCATCATATCGATTCATAAATAAACAGGTTTTAATCAGTAAAACAACAACAACAACGACGACGCGGCGACCGGTCGACCGGTCGACCGATCGAAGCGAGGCAAGACGATTCACGTGAAGAGCAGAGGGAGCCACCTGTCATGCGGCCCCACGGCGACGCGCAATCCGAGTCATCTCGCTTGTAGTGTAGCAGAGACATCTTGTGGCTCAAAATGGAAGCTTTGCCCACGATCGAACACCCTCGTGTGTGTGTGAACGTACGTGCGAATGTGTTCCGGAACAGCTAGCAACATGGTGCAGAGTGACCGCACGAATCCTTCGATATTAAAACAACGACCGTCATTCTAGCACTAGGTGACGCTACCGTAGCTCCGTTCTAAATTTTATGAACAAGCTACAGATGCAAAATTACTGTTTTCACACACGTGGTGAACTACTCACATGACTGTCACACCACCTGGCGAGCAAATCATGAATCACCCACATGACTGTCGCACCCACTGGTGATCGCACAACGAAACTACACGCATGATTATCGCACCACCTGGTGAGCAAGCCACGAACTACGTGTCCAACCGCCACGCCACCTGGTGATCAAACCAAGAACTACGCACACGCTCGACGCGCCAGCGCCACCTGGCGAACTCCACCTCCCCCCCACTTCTCCGTCACTTCCCCTCCTCCGGCGTCGGATCGAGTACCTTCTCTGCCTTCTCCTTCTCCTTCTTTTTCCGCTTCGGATTGAGTATCCTCTCCGCCTCCTCCCACTGTTCCCTCATCTTCCCCGCCTGCTTCGCTCCTTCCTCCGCCATCGCCGCCGGTCCGAGACTCTTCATCGCCGTCAGCGGGTCCTGCACGCGCAGGTGGCGCCCTCCTCCGGCCGCCGCCGCATCGGGGACGTACACCTCGAAGATGCGGAAGTGCGCCACCAGGTGGCGCGCCGCGTCGATGCCGAGGTTGCGGTCGGCGGCGAGGCGGGCGAGCGTCGTGGGACGCGGATCCGCCTGGTGGGCGGTGAGGAAGGCGACGGCTTGGCGGAGCGTGAGCCGGCCCGGGGGAACGGTCTTGGGTTCAGCGTAGCCCCACTCTGGCTGTTCGACGGGCGACCGGTCCGTCGGCAGGGGGCGTCGCACGTCGCGAGCGGCGTCCTCGGCGGGTTTCGCCTGCAACGGAGAGCGTGGGGGCGTGAGCCGGCGCCACCTGGCGGGCCACGTGCGTGACGCGGGTGGGAGGGAGCTTTGTATGTTTGCGCTCGTTTTTTTGGTCTCAAAACGATTTGCCGTCTGCCGTGATTCGATCGGTCATTGTTTTTATGTTTTATTTATTTCAAATTATGCGAATTGCGTTCGCTTGCTGCGAACAAACAATATCAAATACGTTCAGAAAAAAATAGGTCACATTAGATTAGGTTAAGGTAAATGAAATCAATTTTGGTCAAAATTAACTTTTTGGTAAATATTGGGCAATTTAGTGCTGTGGAAGCTAGTCTAAAGATTAATTAGATTTTGCATCTTTGTTGTAGGTATTGCCTGGAGGCACGGCCACAAAGAGAGAATGACGGACTTACATCGGGCACGGCGTCGGTAGAGGTCAAGTAGACGCCCTTTAACATTCCTTCCAATCGTGCGTCTTTCTCCTTCACCGCTGCTGCCACCTGTGCCTTATCTGTGGAAACAATTTGCGGTATAATAGTAAAGTCAAAGTATAGCGGGATAACGTCATCGGAATTAGAGTCAACATCTCCATGATTACCATAATCTTATATCTTATATATCTTATATCTTACAACTATTGCTGCTGCCACCACCACTACTACCACCACTACCGCCGCCATTGCCACCACCACCGCTGCTGCTGCCGCCGCCGCTACCACAACAGGAACATTGGGCATTTTGCCCGAAGTTTAGTGTCAACCGAACGCCCTTGCTAGCGTGCCTCGGACCGACCGTACGTCAGTGCTTTATTGCTATTAGTCAATAATACCCACTTGAGTGTACCATGTGATACCGAATATACCTGACAGTACGTTTTACGAGACTATTCAGTGACGCTAGCGACTAGACTTGGATATGTGGTGTACGTAGTGCAGCCAAGATTGTAAAGTCATGATCGGATTGGAGTCCTTCGATTGGAGGAGGAGGGAAATTGTTTCGGTGAGTATAACTATTAGTTTATAATGGAAATGTTGCGCATGCATCTGAGTATGTTGAAGTCAGGGTGTTAGCCAGGAAAAAAAATCAGGGAGTCTCACCATCTGAGCGAAGCGAGGATGCTGCGGGCGCGAAGCGCCCTAGGGGGAAAACCCGACGATTTTATTTTCATGCAGGGGTAAAATTAGGCCGCCCTCGTGCCGTCTCTATCAAATTTCATCCATCTCGTCCAAGAATAGGCCGTCCAAAAGATGGGTAGACAGGTCTCTGGCTAACACACTGGTTGAAGTATAAATTATCATAAGTAAATTCTATCAGGGACAGGTGTTTGCGAAAGGGTATACAGTCTATCGGCAGATTTTATTAGCCAAAGATTGCATGTTCTAACACGATTATTAGACATCTAGTGACCTTCATGAGTATTGTGTATATATTGAGTGCTTAGTACATTGTAATTCATCCGGTCTTATACCCCGTACAGACTGCAAATTTGACATGGTATCAAACTGGTGTGCGCCAAGCGCGTGTCATATTTTTGCAGTGTGTACGGCAGTCTGCGAAATTAACCACTGGCCCGGTATTCGAGGCCAGTAAATTTTCCGTGGGGCCAATGAAACTGGTAAATGAACAAGACCGATGGGCCAGTGGGAAAAAATGGAGTAAATAGTCTATTAATGATATCTCAGCTTCTTTATGTGATGATCAGTCTGAGAATTTACCGAAATTCCCGATATTTTGNAACTAGTCAACACCATGCGTGTTTGTCGCCGCTAGGCAAGAACTTCCGGTTTCCGGTCTGGTTCGGTTTCTCTTTTCATAATATGATGATCATTGATTCGGGCCTGTAAAACCTAGTGTGGGCCAGTGAATTATACATTTCTACAGGCCCGCTGGGCCAATGAGGGTGGAAGTTTTTCGTGCAGACTGGTACGGGGTATTATAGTTTTGATGTTGTACCGTTTGAAATGAGTGAAGTCTGACGTTATCCCTGGTACCGGTAACATAATCACTTAATTGTTTAGATTCTTTATAGTAACTTTCTGAACTTTTTGTGAATGCTTTGTATTTGTGTCATGTTGATGAAGACAGTTGATGTGAAGAAGCCACTTCGTAGGTCAACAAAAATATAATGAAATAGCTGTGGATCAAGGATAGTTTGGGACCCCCCCCCCCCGCAATACGTTTTTCCGCATGTGTGCTACACTATTCTGGAGCGCTAAACTATGCTTGGGTCATAGCAATTAAAATTTAAATTTAAATCACGCCATCGTACGTAAACAGAGCTACACATCTTTAAACGTCGAGCATCGCTAACGACTCATCTTCTTATTTATTACCGGTAATTAGTGCTGAGAGGGTCTATGTCCCCCGGGGTACTGCCGGAACGTACCCTGGTACTATCTAATATGCCGGACCGTGCTCGCCTACTCCACTAACGAGTCTAGGGAGTCGCCTACGCCTACTCCCTAACCCTAACCCTAACCCTAATCCTAACCCTAACCATATCAAATAGTACCAGGGTACGTTCCGGTATACCGGACCGTACCCAGGGTACGTTCCGGCAGTACCCTGGGGGACATAGACCCTATGAACGTAATTAGTAGTAGTAGTACAGCTAGTTTTGTTGGGGATGTGCATATTTTGTTGCCCCAGATTCTATGCCAGGTCAATATGTCGTATATATGTCCATGTGGGTCAGCAATGTAATGACTAATGACCGTAATGTATGCTTGGACACTATAATATAGTCTGTTGTCACCCCACGGTCAAGTCTTTATCTGACGGCCAGACTACAATACATTAACCTTCGGACAATAACCATAAGTTAATGTACTCGTGATCACTGTAAGTTGCAGTACAGTACTTACAGTACAGCCTTACAATCATCATCATCAAAAGTACCGGTACGTACGCTCTGCTGCTGCACTATCGAGGTCTACCGATCCGGGCCGTTTAGCGGTGGGTCGCTTTTCCTTCGAAATTACTTTCATCGCACGATTTTCTACGTTGAAGTGCCGGGCCTTTCTCTCCAGCGTCGAAATTACCTTACCCATTGCTTACAGACTCTTTAAAATTACAGTAACACAAGATTTACAAAATAGTACTACTACAAGGTTGACAAGACATCACGTAAGACACACAAGACAGTATTGGGAACAACACGGGGATGAGAGTCATTGGTCTTGTACTTAATGCGACATAGGCGCCATGTTTGATTCATTGGCACTCCCGCAGCAATGTAAGCATGCATCTAAAACAGGACGTAGCGTTATTAATGATGTGTTAGTTTGATTCCGAAATATTACGGAAAATAATATCCCTAAATAAAATTAAGGTTGATACATTTTCAATTCTGATGGAATAATAATGACGTTTTGGCAGTGCCGCCACATTGAAGTAGCCAGGGCGCGATTTGCGAATTGCACCTCCTATAGGCATGCCACTCTCCCTTTCAAACGTTTATATTAAAATTTGCTTATTTTATTTTGTACTTTTTATGGTAACAGCGATATTATCTGGACTAGCTTGGCTTGTTGGACTGGGTACCGAGATTTGTGTATAAATATTCGTGTTTTGACGATAGATGGCGCAACGAGGTCGTACGTATACATATCTGGCATTATGCCTCATTATCGGATGAAGGTGAACTCCGGTTCAGTTAATTTTTTTCACTTAGCTCTGTTTTTTTAAGAGGTGGCAGTGATGGCTTTATAGTACGACGGTACGCCATAAGAAAGCTCAATCGTAATTGGTGAGCTAGGGGAAAGAGGAGAGTGGGTAATAAGGATGGATTGTTTTGCCTGCATGCACGCGTGCGGGTGACGCGGCACTTTTGCAGACGCGCAGTTCTTGTAAACAGACAGGCAGATAGAACACGTAAACGTGTAGGCGGCAGGTAGGCAGGATGGCAGGCAGGCAGGCAGGCAAGCAGGCATGCAGGCAGGCAGGCTGTCAGGCAGCTAGGTTTGAGGGCTAAGTATGCTGCCTCTCAACGCTATTGCATCTATGACATTTTTCCTCCATGAAAAAGATTGTCTTCCTATTCGTATTTGAATTGCGTTGAATAAATACTAAATAATAATAATAATAATAATAATAATAATAATAATAATAATAATAATAATAATAATAATAATAATAATAAAGGTATGCAGGCAGGTAGGCGGGCAAGCAGGCAGGCAGGCAGGCAGGCAGGTAGGCGGGCAAGCAGGC